AAATTTGAGTTATTAAATCCGACTCAGGCACAAAACTGTTGCCATGGTTTGAGCTAGGGTCACGCTTGAACATAAAATATGCAGGTTCATGTAGGGTCGGGCCTGATTATAGATCTAATTATGTCTCATCAAGCTCAGTTTAAGAGGGGATCCATTTTTGTTTAAAGCTTTTCATATTGAAAGAATTGTAAATCAAGCCTTATAATATATGTAATGACTATCTTTTTAAGTCACAGAGGGGCTGCTACTCAGATTCAGTTACAACACCCACACGATTAAATCCCCAGCTTGTAGTTTAAAAAAATAAATAAATCAGATTTAGCTCACCAGTTGCTGCTGTGGCATTATCTTTCACAAAAAGTACAAAACCGCACATGCAGGAACACAAGCTGCAGCCTGCTCAAAAACCATCTGCTTCTCTCACATGAAGCAGCGACACACCTGAACCTGATTCAGTTAACCTACTAAGGAACTTTTCCCTACCAAGTACTTCACAATAAGGATGCTTATTATCATACACAGCAAGTCGTGTAATTCACACCCATTCACTTCAAATGTATTTCCCCATGACATTAAATCAGCCAGAAACCTTTAAATCATGGGCATGTTTCTTTAACTTCGGACCCACTGATGCCTCACTGTAAGCCAATATGTGTATTTGTGTGTACTAACATCTGCAGTAGGTGATTTGAGGGGGGACAAGGGGGGACATCATCCTCCTTGCTAGCAAAATGACAAAAATATCACCACCTTATTAACCTGCCGTGCCTCTCCATCCCCACTGGACCATGGGCGGACCGTGGTCTGGGCCCACACCTGGACATAAAACTTTAATTAATAGCCCGGGCTACTATTTGCTTAATTTGATCAAATTTACAGGACTATATTTGGGACAGGCCTTTAATTCCGTCCGCACAAAACTGCTGCTCAACAAAGACAAAAAAATACAATCAAATTGTTTATTTAAACCAGTATAAATATTACCTGTTTAAAAATGAGGCTTCAGATAACACATCAGTTATGAATCAGTCATTTGATCTGGCTGTCAGACAGCGCATCAGAGAGAGTGAGTTACAACACTTGAGGATTATCGCACCCAGCATACTGACACAACACTTTATCCTGTTAAAACAACACTCACAAATTGGATTAATTTTTGTGAAAAACCATTTTCATTCTTTTGATCTGAGGACCCTTACGGACTAAAGGAATATGAATAACATACAGCGTAACTGAGGAATGGACATATTTATTAGGCAGCCAACAACCTGCTTTTATACATCCAAAGGACTTTTAATTGAGGTTTTAGGGTATTTAAAAATGATGTAGTGTTTCTATTTTAACCAGCACGACATTTCTATCCTTTACGGCACAGGTTTATCAGTCAAGAAAACTCATCGCCCAATTGCATGCGTCATAAATCATCTCATGTGATGCCACTCAGCCGATCAAATCTGTGCATTCTGAGAAGCATTGCGACTCGAGTCAGTGTGGGATATACTCACACAAGAAAGAGATAAGAGAAATAAACGAGTCACATAAAAGTAATTTACATGGAGCACGAACCGCAGGGAGGCAAAGGTCCTGTTGAAACTGGAGCAATTCTTCTTTTTATTATTATTTTATCTTAAAACTCTTAAAACTTGTAACTGGCCAAAATTAACATCTGATACAGGTGTAATTAACGACTGTCACGAAATGGCTCAGTAGGTTCCCCTTCAAAATTTCGATGACGCGGCCCCTGAAGCTGCTTTCACTTACGTGTACGGAACTTGGTAGGTACATGTAACATCACAAGATGTGCAAAAAAGTGTCTTGGAGCCATACTCTAAACCCAACAGGAAGTCAGCCATTTTGAATTAAATGTGCAATTTATTTTTATTATTTTGTTTTAGCGCTTTGCTTGAAATCTTTGTTTTCATTCAATTATTCTTGTGATGTTTTATAGTCTGTGTCTGCTTTGTGTACAGAACTTTGAGTGTTGATTGTATAATAAATAAATTATAATTTTTTATATAGAAAAAGATCACTGTGGCATAAGTGTCAGAGGGTTAATAGTTAAAAAGAACAGCGTTGGATTGAGTTTCACTTTAAGAAGAAAGAAACTAAGTTAGACCCTAGTAAACATGGGTCACACTACAAAAATAGCTTTTCAGATTTTATATGCATGCACTGCTGATTAATTAATAATATAGAAAACTGCGCCCATATGATGCCAATAATGCATCATTCTCTGAAGCCACAAAAAGCCAGGTTTCTACTTGTGATCCCAGCTCTGAACAGACCTGATCATGATAACTGCAGAAAAACTGGAGCTGCTCGTGTGTGTGGAGCTGCCTGTTTCCAGACATGAATAAACATAAGTGACAAATCCAGCAGAACTCACAACAACATCTGGCCATCTGGACGTCAGTTATCTCGCACAGCTTTGTGTGCTGTGGTATAATGGGCCTTGGCTAAAAAAAAGGGATAAAAATACCACTCCAATCATCATCATCAATTATCAGCATCTATAACTCATCTCCAGCTACATCACCAGAGACGTCAGCATCATCACCAGCATCATCTCCTCTCTCTGCTTTTCCTTGTTACCATGTATTGAGTCATTTCTTTGTCCTGCCTTAGCAGCACAAGTGTTCTTATGCAACCGTGCTGTGGCCATTCAAGACAGACAAACAAACGGACAGGCAGGCAGGCAGGACACTGACACTCCCCCACACTTCCACTTATCTCCCCATCCTCGACCAACACATGCATGCTTTAACACAGCCTGCATCTCTATGCTACTCCTCAACCACACACTTTAAAGCTTAATCACAGGATTTACTGTCATACATCCGTCCTCTCCTCTCTTTTCTCGCAAACCCTGCAACCCACACACACCCATGACTGGCAGTGTTCAGTGCATACAGGAAGTCACATGAATATTCACGCGCGCGCACACACACACACACACACACATGCAAGAAGGCCCTAAATGATGCACAACTCCTTTTGCATGTCATGATGGCTCTCCTCTCCAGATCATGAGAGCCACAACATCAGGCACGGAGGAGAAGGAGGAGGAGACATGGAGAAACACAGATCCAGATGGAGGATTAACAGTGACATTTGCCACAGAAATCGGGCTTTATGCGTCACACTGGCGTCATTATTAGTGTACAGTCAAATGTTGACGTGCGTCTCCGTGTCGGCTGTAATCAGGAAGGGGTGGCAGGCAGGAGAGGGCTTGCCGTCGGTCCGCAGATTGGTGCGCAACGCCATTACAGACCACCCTACTCTGCTGGGTTCATTCATAAATACCAGAGGATCGCCATCTCGCAACGGTGCCATCATTTCGCAGTTGCAGCGAACCCCACCACTCCTCCCTCCTCCTCCCCTCCTCCTCCTCCTCCCTCCACCTCCCTTTACTCCTCAAAGCAATATCATAATCCCAACACCCTCATATCTCTGCCCCCTCTCCCTCCTGCTGACTGCCAATATGGCTGTGCGGGCATACAATTCACACGACCGAGGTTATCAAACACAAAGTCGTGATAGCAGCCGATGTAAATGCATTTAAATCAACAGGATAAATAATAAATTAATAAAGACTGAGATCCTGCACCGGCCGTGAACAGCAGGGATCGTGCGCGCTCAGCAGACGAGCCAGGCAGAAGGAGCGCGGCTTCGCCTCTGAATACCAACATCTAACCTCCATGTAAAGATGCGGGGATGAGCAGCATCTCCATACCTGGTCGTGAAGTACAGCTCCGCTTCAGGCTCGTCCTCGGTTGAGACGGATGTAATACAAACGCTGAAAGCGTCTTAAAGCATTTTACACGGTTCATGTAGAGCTCATGTCGTCCGATTTCCAACACCACCACAGCAGACTCTCTCTATCTCTCTTCCTCTCCCTTTCTCTCCCTCTCGCAGATAGGACGTGGGAGGTGCTATGCCCTCTCCCTTTTCTGTCCACACTTGATTTTCTTTCACTTCATACACTTCCTAGTGGTTGGATGCCAGCGAAATTAGCTATTTAACACAGACACCCTCTCAAAAAAATTGACCACGAGATCACAGCAAAATTAAAATGAAACTGAGTAACACTGCACAGGCCACCTTAATATCTCAATATCCATATACGGAGCAACAATCTGATCATATGCGATGCAAAATATCCAAAGAAACCGGGATGTAAAGGCACCGATGGTCCCCGAGCAACAGATCGCATTAAAGTGGTCCGGCTGATGGAATTAAATTCACGGTGAAAAATGTAACCTAAGCAGAACCCCATTTAATTTTCCAAATGATTTTGTCGATGTTTCAGCCACAGCCAGGCAGCCACCTGATATCTCCAGGGCCGAGGCAGATTTATGCAGCTTTTCAATCCGGCTCACAGCTGCAGGAATTAAAAGACGACTAAAGACGGGAAATCTTGTGTGAAATTTTGTGAGAGCAAAAAGCCAGAACTGCAAGATTCACTGGCTCAGATTGGGCATCTGATTAATCACGCAACATTTTGATAACATGGACGTTTTGACACAAGTACACATAAATCAAATCACCTATAACTGGAAGAGAAAGCGGAAATGCATGATTGAGTGCCTTGTATTTGGTGTGTGATTCAGGATCAGCACCACGGACAGCGACCTCATTGTGTTTCAGCACCATGGAGAGATCCATCAATACATACATACATACACACATACATAGGCCTTTATATACAGTAGGCTGTACTGTAAACACACACAACAGAGCAAAACAACATGTAAAGGATGGACAGAAGGTAGGAGATGACAGTCAATAAACCAGGAAGTATACCAGCCCAGTATAAGCACGCCCAAATCAATTCTCAGCCCATGTCTGCAGGAATAATCACATTCCATTCATTTCCTCCAGCACCACAAATAAGTGTGAGGCAGCCTAGCCCGGATGCTACTAAAGGCCCATGGCCGAGCCACACCGGGCCTTGTTTGGAGCTGTTTGTCTGTACGTGACGGTCTCAGTGTATGACTCACCAACTCTCCATCCGGACAGCCTTGTGTTTGTCCCCCTCTGTTGGTGAGCCTGGGCACTGCAGCAGCCAAGCAGACAGGGTGATAGCAAGGAGCATAGATTGTTTCTGTTGGGGGGGAATAATGAGCAGAAGATCAGGAGATAATGGAGGGTTAGGCAGGAGGAGAGATCATGCAGAAATATGCAGATGGAAAGTTAGCATGGCCAGAAAAAAGAGGGATCCAGAGACTTCAATCTAAAGTTATTATTATTATTAAAACTTAAAAGTCTACAGCTAGCTATTTTCAGAATATAGTCTTCTTACCTTCCTACATTAACATTAGCTTAGTTGCAACAAGCCTATCATCTTAAGTAAAACACGTTTAACATTAAAGGTCCAGCGTACAGGAATTAAAGGGATATTTTGGCAGAAATGGAATATATTATAAAAGTACGTTTTCTTTAGTATATAAAATTAAGAATTGTCATTTTTTTCTTACCATAGAATGAGCCATTAATTTCTACACGTGGGGAGCAGGCCCTCATCCACAGAGTTTGCCATGTTGTAACCGAATACTAGCTCTAGAATAGGGCCACCGTAGTTAGCAGCAACCAACGATGAGCCGAGCAGCGTCAGAAAAACGCAGATTTTTACCGTGGAAATGCTTTAGTCAGTTTTTCTACGAGCTAAAATCACTGGGTCCGTTTGTTTTGCAAAGAAGGGGACCTCTGCGGATAACTCGGCTCCTCGTAAAATCCTCCTGAACATCTGGGTCTTAAGTTATCACAGGAAAAAGGTTAGTAGACGTTTGCAGTACTGGGTTAGCGTGTAGGAGAAACACAGATTTTTAACGTGAAACTTCTTTGTTCAGTGTTTTTACCAGCTTAAATCACCGGGTCCTTTTGTTTTGCAAAGCAGGAGACCTCTATGGATACCTCAGCTCGTGGTTAACACCTGCAGAACATCTAGATCTTAAGTTAACAGAGGGAAAAGGTTAGGTTTGCAGTGCTGGGTTAGAAGGTGAGTAGGCATTTGCAGTGCTGGGCTAGTGTGTAAGAGAAACACAGATTTATTCAGTGTTTTTACCAGTTTCAATTACCAGGTCCATTTATTTCAAAGAGCAAGAGGCCTCTGCGGATATTTCGACTCCTGGTAAACACCTTCTGAACGTTTGAATCTAAAGTTATCTGAGAGAAAAGGCGAGCAGAAATTGCGAGGTGCTTGGCTAGTAGCCCATGTGGGACAAGCTGAAAAGTGTATCTATCTATCTATCTATCTATCTATCTATCTATCTATCTATCTATCTATCATATGATCTGTTTGTCTTGGTGCAGCTCCTGGTAAAAATCTCCTGAATAATGAACACTGAAGGAATTCTAACCGGGAGTACACGCTTAAGTGCTAATAAAACATAGCTGTGCTTTGAGCTAAATGCTAACATCACCACACTAAGAGAATCAGAGGATCAGCAAAGTCCGCATGACTCATCCTCTCAGATCACGAATGGATCTCCTGGATGTCATTAGATATTCAGTCAGGAGCAACAAACAGACAGAGATTGCCATCCCTAGAGCCATGTTGCTGTAGTGGGACGAAAAAGCAGATTGTAAAATTAATAATAGCTGAAAAATGTTTGTGTACATATATAACATGCTTTCATTCACTCCTTTCATTCTTTGTCCTCCTCTCTCCAGCTCTTCTTCTCCTGTCCTAAGCCATTACAGGCCCTACACTCAATACAAAGCGTTGGATCAAACCACACTGCAACACAATGCAATAATTGGTTTCTGTGTCCAATTTGTGTTTAATCAATAACCTGTCGGCCACCGGTGGCTGAAGGGATACATAACAAACACCGAGCGGCCACATCTTCACAGCAGCCATTTCCAGATGGGTGCCTTCCTCTCTCCGTGGCGGCATGTGGCCAATTGCGCCGGCTCCATCCACCATTTCCCATGCATTACATCCAGTGCGCAGACACAAAGGGCCTCCCATTCAGAGCCCCTCGAGCGTGAATACAAAGCAAAAGACAAATTAAAGAGTGGGTGGTTAGGCTGTCTGAATGCTGGTAAATGTACTTGAGGGTGACAGGTCAAAAGATCAAGTGGATACGAAGGATGGGAGGGGAAACGCTCATGGCAGCGGTATCTTCACTGCAATTCCTGCTATAACAAATGGGATATACGGAGAATTAAATACAAAATTATCTGCACCCACATCTGTAAATTTTTAAACAAAAATTTGAATTTCATGTAAAAGAAAAGTAGTTCAAAGAATTTGCAATATTCTTTAATGGCATGTAGAACAGTTTGGAAAAGGGTAACTGAAACTTTTAATGTTTTCAACGCATGAAATTTGGGTACCCATTACAAATACAGCAGATAAAGTTCATTAATAAAAAAAATAAAAAAAAAATTGGTGCTGCAAAATGAACTAGAGCCAAATCCGCAGAGGTTATGGATCCAGAAATACAATTTCCCTGACTTGCCGCTGCTATAGAAAAAAACAATTACAGAAACCACCGGTGCGTGAACATTGTAATTTGGACCGAATAAAATCCAATTCCCACTTTGTGAGGAATGACACTGCTCGGAGAGAGGGCACCAGAAGAAACAGAAATAAATCTGAAAAGGTTAAAGCCAGACAGGCAGACACTTGTTCAATTCATTCAGGTTCCAGTTTTATTATTTCAGTATTATGAGATGATAAATTAAGACATATTAAAAGGCAGAAGTCTTCAAGATAAAGTTACAGATGAAGTACCCTCCCATTCCCAATAGCTCCAACAGACTTTAAATGCCGCTTCGCACATGCAAGAGTGAGGCTTTTAAGAGCGAGAACACGTTAATGACATGTAAAAGTTCCAGTTTTGATTAACAATTAGAAAGTGCTGTTTGTGGACACATTTGAAGACAAACTGCTTTTATAACCGTAACGTCATCAGCCTCAGTTTTCTGGCTCAATTAGACATAAAAATATCGACTGTACCGCTAGTGCTGCTGAAACCTGCAGGCACACAATTGTATTTTTTGACATCATTAGATTTCTTTCCACGAAGGTTGTCACACTACGACAAATAAAAGAAGATCACATAAAAAGGTCACAGTTTCTCCGATTGTCTTGGCAGTACCGATGGCAGTACTGATGTGATAAACAAACAACCTTTTATTCATTTTCAAGAGTGTGAAGCTTCGGTTCACCACATGACGCAGGGGTTGATCAACATCATTCGTCATGGTAGGAGGTTTGAAGACAGAACAAAAGCAAAACAACAAACACACATAAACTCATTCAGTCACTCTTTCAATTACAGAGACACACACACACAGACACACAGACACACAGACACACACACAAAGCCTTTCCATGTCTCTCACTGGTCCTTGTCATGGTTGAGGGCCCGGTTAACAGCTGATGGAATAAACAGAGAAAAAACTAGAATTACAACCTTGCGGTTGTACGCCTCCTCTAATCCCTCAAAGTTGCACTTACAGTTTTCATCCATGTGTGTGAATACATGCATGCTTCACACATCTTCCCCCCTGGCAGCATAGAAGATGGACACAATCAGCACAGTTTCATGGTGGACACCAAAGATTAGTGTCACCAATTCAATCTGACCAGATATCTCCCCTTCTGCTCCTGAGATCTGGCGTTGAGTGATGGCCAGAAAAGTGTTGTTGCAGAACATTATGATGTCACAGTGAGGTTGACCTTTGGCCTTTTAGGTATGAAATGTCATCACTTAATTTCATTGGTGTGAATTTTTGTCATAATTAGCGGATGAATTCTTGCGTTATGGCCAAAAACATGTTTTGTGAGGTCACAGTGACCTTTGACCACCAAATCTAATCAGTTCATTGTTGAGTCCAAAAGGGCATTTGTGCCAAATTTCAAACAACTCCCTCAAGGCCTTCTTGAGATATCGCAATCAAGAGAATGACACAGTGGTCACGGTGACCTTGACCTTTAACCAACAAATTGTAACCAGGTCATTGTTTGATCCAAGTAGACATTTGTGCCAAATTTGAAGAACCTCCTTCAAGGCCTTCTTGGGATATCACGTTCATAAGAATGAGACGGATGCAAGGTTACAGTGACCTTGACCTTTGACCACCAAAATCTAATTAGTTCATCATTGAGTCCAAGTGAACGTTTGTGCAAAATTTAAAAAATTCCCTCAAGATCTTCTGGAGATATTGCGTCCACAGGAATAACACAGACGAGGTCAAAGTGGCCTTGACCTTTGACCACCAAAATCTAAGTAGTTCATCATTGTCCAAGTGGGGAAATTCTCTCAAGGCAATGTTGAGATTCACAAGAATGAAATAGATGGATGGATTGACAACCTGAAAACATAATGCAGGTTTCACTTCGGCAGCGTGGAGGCATAAAAACACTGTATTTTGTAGGGACGCTAACAGACTCAAAGATAAAACAGATGACTGTATTTGAGGAAAGATTTCTAAGGTGTTTATCTGGGAGGTGATGGAGAAGTTTGTCTGCGGAGAGTATAAATTAAGTGACTGTACTTGCATGTATATTGACGTTATCTCACCCTCCTTTGTCACGCTCTCAGTTATGTTCTTAGCCTTGGCGCTCAGGTCGCTGACCACGCTGTCCATGGCTGCCTGGTGTTTCAGGAAAAACGGCCGGATCACACGATTGTACAAGATCTCAGAACCGTTCCATGTCACCGGAGCCATACACCAGATCAGGAACAAACACTGAGGGGAGAGCAGAGGGAAGATCTTAGATATCATGCTGCTGGGTGACTTCCTGTCCAGAGTGACTAATGTCTGGCTCTGTATTTTATGAGATAATAAATCCACTATCTCTGGGATTTAGATGGTTAGTCGGACAAAAAACAAGCAATTTAATGACGACACCTTGGGTTTTTAGGAAAGTGTATAATTTTTCACTTTTCTGACATTTTATAGGCCAAGTGATTTATTGATTATTGAAGAAATACTTTGCAGATTAATTGAAAATGAAAGGAATTGTCAGATGCAGACCTCAACAACGCAATTTTGGAATCTGGCTAAACCTTTTGCATTTAATGAGAAGTGTTAACATTTGTCTAACATGCCAGCTATTGTATTGTGTTACATAACAGGCCTGTGTTAATTTCCCATCATTCACTGCACAGTACGAGGCATTGTTTATTAATCCTATTTTTCCAGGATTAAGTTCATCCATTGAAACCATCCCATTTTAATGAAGGAAAGCAAAGATTATCATGGTAATTAGGCCCAAACAATACATAATGAGGTGACTTTTTGATGGTTAAGGCAGGGCTTCCAATCTTTGTGTCAGATTGCAACTTTACTCAACTTATGACAACCTCATTTTACATGTCAAAAAGGACATGAAATGATGATAATAAATACTTACTCTGCAACTAATGGGCATTGCCATGTCCCAGTGAAGTATAGGTAAAACAAAAATAAAAATGCATTTTGAGTTTATAACACCACAGGAAATTGCGTTAAAAAACACCTGGCCAAAAGTGAATGATTAGAAACAATTGTCAAGTTAATAAAATAAGGTTTCACAATAAAAAAAAATTGTATTATCTGCTCTGAAACACTGAGGGCACGTCCGCTGAAGGTGCTGAGCTGAAGATCGTGCCGCTGAGAGGTGACAGTCTCTCAGTATCAGCTAACCCAGTAACACAGCACAGCACCAACTGCTGATCTGGCTGAAAGGTACATTTGTGACGGCTATTTTGTAGGGCTGCCCATGACTAAGAATTTTGCTAGTCGACCAATAGTCATCATTTAGGGCCATGAGTCGACTAGTCGCCCGCATGTTTACGATGTTAATTTAATTATTGAATTATATATTTTGGGCGGGGCAACACAATGGTTTGAGTTGAAGGTGTGAGAAAGAATAGTATCAGTAACATTGTTAACACTGTGCTACATTACAGAGAAATACAAAAACGTACTAATGAACCTTCATTAATATAGGCCTATATTTTATCTACAAGTGCACGTCACACACTGAGCGAGCCGCCTGTTAATGACTCTGTGGGCTAATGGGCATGTAGCTACTTCCATGTTTCAGATGATACCTCATGTTTGTAGTCGACCAATGAAGATGAGTTTACATATCAGCTTGGGTTCGTCCTTCACCTTCTCAAAATGATCCCACACTTTGGATTTCCTGCCCAACATGTTATTAACTAGCCTGTGGAATAACTGCAGGTTCCAGCCCTGGAAATTAGGGGCCGTACACATACAACTTCTTGGCCACCTGGAAAATGCGAGGTCTGGCACTGGGCGCTTCTCTTGTGCCTTTTCTGTGCCAGCTTTCAAGAGTGCGGTTGCAGGTTGCGCCTAAGGTTGCTAAACAAACTTAACAAGCATCGTATAGCTTATTTACCTGAAATCCTGAGTGCAGAGCTGATCTTCTTTCAGGTGCTGTTTAAAAGTGTGTAGGCCTATCGTCCATGGGCCAGATGTAAAGCTCTGGGTAGCCCTGCACTAACATGATCAACTTTTCCGTATTTATCAGACTGAATATTTACAGAAGCAGGGAAACATATCTGTTGGCTGTGATTGGTTTGTAACGTGACTCCTGTCTGACTGCTGAGTGTGGCCACTTCCTGTGTCTGTCCTTTCAAATTTAATTCCCACATGGTCCAGTCATATAGGCAAGTTGCAGCTCCTAATAGTGTTTCACTTTTGTTTTTTCTGCGACTAAGCGACCAATGACATCTTGCATACGAATGACCTTTCTGGTTGACGAACGTTGACTATTGGGGTGTAGCCCTACTATTGTGCTTGTGTTCATGATTGTAGCATTCAACAGAGTTCTTAATTCATGTATTCATTAGACTAAAAGAGGTAAGGAAGCTTGTGGAATGTAGCAAACGCATTGCTTACACACAGGAAGTGAACAAAACAGTGATGTAATGCATCACTTAAACAACATTAGTTATTATATAGTAGGAGAGGTGTTATGTTAAGGATGGCTCCAGTGTGCCATTTAGCCATGATGTCAGGCCCGCCCAAAAAATCCTGTATGTGCAGTTTGCACTAGTATATACTCATATTTATACTGTACAGTTTGGGCGGTTAGAATACAGGAACAACATATTTTATAACCAATACACTTCATGGGTTTTACAATATGTAAAAAAATACTTCATTAAAAATCAAGCCTGTTTAGACTGCTTACTGACTTTTTTTCTTAGTTGACTAGCCTACTAGTTTACTAGTTTGACACTTTTCCCAGTGAAAACCCACAACATTCAAAACCCATTATGAAGTATGGGACTGCATTACAGCAGATGTCTGACGGTCTTCTTCATTTTCATTTTCAAATTATCCACAAGAGTGCGCTGTTGGAAAACTACAATTTACAGACGCCCAGAGTGACAGAGTACAGCGCTCATGTGATTCAACACATCGTGACTGCCTGTGGTTTTACAGTGAAAGCAGACATAGCTGGCAAGATAATACAGAACAAAAAAAGGAGATATAACTCAATAAGGTGTAAAAAAACAAAACAAATATCATCCATACAAAAAAAAAAAAAAAAAGGAAACAACCTACAAATGAAAAGGTCAGCCTACCTTGCCGGCATAGTAAAAGGGGAACCAGAAAAGGAAGATGTCAGAGAAGAACTCGACAACGCTGAAGAGTCCATAAACAACCCAGTAGGTCAGCCACTGTGTGTCATCTTCCTTCACGTTGCTCTCGATGGCCTTAATGCTGAATGGACAGGAGGAGAGGCTCAAGTGAGAAGATTGATAATGTCATAACATCAATAGTACACACTGCAAAGATTTAAAGTCACAAACTTAAAGTCTGAAACCACAGGCGCATTTAAAGGTATCCTGTAGACTTTTTAAAAGTGTGTGACAAGGTTTTAAAGAAAGGGTGGGCCCCTTGTAAAGTATGGAAATGTAATTTAGCACGCCATCGTGTATATGAAATATCTGTAGCAGACTAGCAATGTCAAGCTCATCGAGAGAATGCCAAGAGTGTGCAAAGCAGTAATCAGAGCAAAGGGTGGCTATTTTGAAGAAACTAGAATATAAAACATGTTTTCAGTTATTTCACCTTTTTTTGTTAAGTACATAACTGCACATGTGTTCATTCATAGTTTTGATGCCTTCAGTGAGAATCTACAATGTAAACAGTCATGAAAATAAAGAAAACGCATTGAATGAGAAGGTGTGTCC